GAGGCTGACATCTCCTCTCTGGGGTGCAGGTGGGGGCCACGGGAGAACCCCCTCCTCCATAGGCCACAGGCCATGCCCGCTGGCAGAGACTGGGGCTGGGGTTGGTCCAGGAGAAGGGAGGGGTTGGGGGGAGCAGGGGTGCGGCTGGGGCGGGCGCAGGAGCCGGTACCTGTCAAACAAGAGCCAAGGAGCAAACTAGCTTCTTAGTCACCTTGCTCTTCTCCCCGTTTTGGCAGCAGCCCCTCGGGGCAAGGGGAAGCTGATATCATAATTATTGGCTCACCCAGCAGCTGCCTCCCCTCACCTGATGTCAGCACAGACCCAGGACGGCCAAGCTGACGGACTGACAGGCGGACGGAGCTCCTGGCCCCCCAGACCCAGGCCCCCACGCCGACCTGCTTCACTGAGCAGGTAAGAGGAGACTGGTCCCAAATCAGCCGTGGAAGCCAGCAGGGCAGGGCCAGAGCATGGGGAGGGGGGTTGCCTTTTTAATGGGCCCTGGGGGAGACCGGGAGCACCTGGGTGCTCCCCATCTTCTCACTGCAGCTGAAGGGAGACTCAGGAAGCGGGGTGAGTGCCTGGAGGCCAAGGAGGACCCCCTCATGTTCCTCCCTCTCATCCCTGTCCCAGGCCGCCTGACGTAGTGGGGCTTGTCGTTCTGAGGTTTGTTGGATTTTGTGTGTGGCTCTGTGGCTATACCTAGCCACCCCATGCTGGGAGGAAATGAGGACTCAGTAATCTTAGGACAGGAAAACTGGAGCTGAAAGCCTGGGAGGCAGATTCCCAATTTTAGTGGCTTTCTAGAGGAGAAGGGGGCTAGAGCTTCGGGGGCTGGGTGGTGCAAGGGGCTGTGTTGATGGAGAAATCGCTCAACATCTCTGGGCGGCCTAGACTGGGGTTTAGACACCTGAGGGCTAGGGGGAGGCCTGGAGTGCAGAAAGGAGATGGCACACCTGGTGGAGAAGCAGACAGGTGGCAAGCAGGTGCTGTGGCAAGTGCCGGATGCTGAGCTTAAGGCAGCATCCCCCGGAGGGCTAGGAACACCTCTCTCCCTCAAGATCTCTGGAATCAAGAGGCCTGGTGAGCAGACCTGGGATAGGCAGGTAGCTGTACGACCCTTGAAGCCTAGAATTGGGAGTCTGGGAAGCAAAGGCCCTTAGGGAAATGGCTGGCGTGGCAGGAGGCACCCTCTGGCTCCCACAGCTTCTCCCCACCCGCTACCCACCAGGTAAGGTTCTGGCATTCCCCAGGGAGTCCCCCAGGCCCTCCCTAAATGTCCAAAGAAGTAAGTCAGATAAAGCACAGACTCTAACAAGTAGGCGTGTTTGCCTCTTCTCTCTGCACCTACAGACATGGGGGGTATGGTGGTGTGGAGGGTATGTTTGTGTGTGTGTTGTGGCCGGGCACAGCCAGCCAGAGGGAAAGGACCTGGGTGAAGAGGGTGCATCCAAGAGAAGTCACTTCACCCCTCTCTTTGACTCTATGCCACTTATTCCCCCTGTCAGGCAGGGCTGCCCTCTTCACTTTGCTAATCCTGCAGGAGGACACTTGGTCAGCTCCCTCGAAGTCATGAAGTCTCCACTGCCGCAGAGTCCATCCAGGTCTGCTTAACCCATCGCCTTGGCCTTCCCCCACTGATGAAAGCCAGCTCCTCTAGGCTGGTCTGAGGGCATAGCGGGTGGATGGCGTTGTACTCCAACCCTGTCCCGATAGGCGCTGGCTCAGGCCCTTTTACCACCTGGGTTGTTGCCTGACCCACAGGACACAGGCAGTTGAAGGCCATCCCCAACTGAGGGGTCGCAGCACCTCCTGTCCCAGACCCTCTCTCATGTGGTGGGCCAGGCAGGGCCAGAGTCAGGAAGGCTGGGGCTGGGGCGTCTCGGGATCCTTAGGGGCCAAGGTGCCACAAGGAGAGGCTCTTGTCCTCCCAGCTCCCCGCCCGGCCCCGCCCGTGCTGCCTCTGCGGAGCTCAGCTCTGGGCTCCAGGGCCTGCTGAGGCATGCTGCCCCCCCAGGCCCGGCGCCTCACTCACCTCCCAGGGCCAGGAACCTGTTCTCCCGGGAATGCCAGGGAGTTCTCAGAGGACTTTATTTCCCAGGGGCTCAGGGAGCCCCAGAATCCTCTCAATTCTGCTGTCGGGAAAAGGAGGACAAGATGAGGGGGTTTCCCATCCCCCCATCTTTGTCTCATCCACCAACTGAGCCCACATTGCCCCCTACCAACAGCCTTGGCTGTTCATCATGGGAGGGGGAGGAGGCTTGGGAAACTTAAAGATTAGGGGCAAGCTCACCAGGGACACGTGCCTTCTGGGAGGCTGTCATGTGCCAGCCCCCCCACCTATACCCTGGTCTCAGGGAGGGCCTTTCTTTAGCCCCATGGAGAGTCCCATCAGCCTTCTAAGAAAGCAACGTAGCACCCCTTCCCATGGGCTCTGACTTCCCAGCCAGGAAGTCCTTCCTGATGTTAGGCTCCCTCCTTCAGCCTGAGTCTTCCTGGATCCGCAGAACACCACTGCCTCCACGAGGCTCGTCAATATAGCCAGAGACTGTTACTAAGTCACACTGAAGTGTCCTGAGACCTTATGTACAGGGAAGGGCAGAAGGAAGGCCCCACTGCCCTTCCATTGGTCTCTCAGCTCCATACTCTACTGAGGTGGGGTGGCTGGGAGCCACGTCTGCCCGTCTCCCCTGACTCCCCAATTACAGAGGGCTGCAGGGACAGGGGTCCCGCAGACATGTCCTCCCCTCTCTGTTTCCTAGTCACAGCCCGCCATCCCTGCTAGGCCTGCAGGGGGAGTCCAGCAAGCTGAAACTGGCTTCTGCAGCAGGAGAGATTGACATTGGGACTTCACGACACGTTTCAGTATCATAAATTGAGTTTGGTTGGACTGTGTGACCACAGGAGGTGGTTTCCTGAGTGCGGAGGCAACCATTGATCTGGGATGGGTGTGGTTGGGCTGGCAACATGCCCAGGAGCAGGGAAATGACAAGATGACCTCTGGGAGAGTGCATCTCAGAAGCATCAAACATCCCTGAATAATTTTGGTCTTTCCGATTTACTGCCCCTTCCTCCATCTCCGTGCTCATCTCCAACCTCAACCTGCAGCCTATCCCTAACCCCTTCACCCCAACCCCATCCCCAACTTCACCCCCATCTCCACAATCCCATCCTTCTCTACCTCACCTCCTCAGCCCCACCTCCATCCTCAGCCCCAAAACCATCTTCCATCCTCACTTCCCCAGAACGGATCTCTCCATACACCACCAGAGATCTCCCTCAAAGTCCAACACCCCTCATCATTGCCCCAGTCAGGTCCTGCTTTGTCCTCCACACTCTCCCAGTGTTTAGGAAAAGCCTAGAGCAATACCACTAGAACAAAAAGGACTGGATGGGGTCATCCCTGGAGAAGCTTTCTACTTCCTGATCCTATCCAGGTCTTAAGGGCTGGACACTGGCCAAACAGCAAAAATGAGATCAAGTGCAACAAGATGAGTTGAGGTCTGATGACCAGGTGGACCTCTCTACATGCAGGTGGGTGGCAGGTAGAAGAGGGAAGATGGAGAAACATGCCCAGAGGAATCCAAAAGTAGGTAGTGGCAACCTTTCTTGGCAGGGGGAGCCGCAAGTGTAACCAATTCAATTAAGCATGGCCAGGCCCAAAGCAGGGAGATGGACAGAGGCCTGCCAGGTTGTTTAGGAATGACTGCTGTCGTGAGCATCCCCCGGTCTCTACCTTCCCTGTGGCTCTTGCTTACTCAGCTCAGATTAATGGGACTGGGGAGAGAATTAGCTGAATCGTGATCACTCAAGGAATTTGACTTGAGAACCAGCTGTGAGTCACAGAGAAAAGGGAACCCTTGCTCTCATGGCTATTCTGGGAGCTCCAGGGGGTGGGCACCCCCTCAAGAACCCCTGGATGCACCAAGAGAGCCCACTGGGGCATCTGACCCTCACTTCCAGCCCCTATTCATGGGAAGATGCATAATCAGTCAACTTTAAGCCCTGTTCCTCTGGCCTGAAACTACTGCTTCTGACAAACTACAGCCAGCTTGAGCAGCAACACACATGCACACACACACACACACACACACACACACACACACCCCTAGAATGGGGCGTGTCCCTGGAACTGGATCGCCCGGAGACAGTTGGAGATTCCACCTACACTTGTAAATTCCATAGTCATGTCCCAGACTACACCAGTCCATCAGTGTTGGAAGGCATAGAATGTGCTCAAGGATATGCACGCGCGTGCACACACACACACACACACACACATAGACACATATCACCACAATTAGAAAACCCAATGATCAGACTCCACTTAGCAGAGCCGGAGTGATTTTTTAAAAAATATTTTATTTATTTATTCATGAGAGGCACAGAGAAGAGAGGCAGAGACACAGACTCCTGCAAGGGAGCCTGATGTGGGACTTGATCCCAGGACCCCAAAATCACAACCTGAGCCAAAAGCAGACACTCAACCTCTGAGCCACCCACACCAGAGTGATCTTAGCAGAACCAGTGCAGCAGTGTTCACTGCCAGAGATGTCCCCAGCTCCTTCAGAGAGGGGTGACTGGAGCCTACATTGGGCCCCACAGAGCATGTGGTTTTGGAGAGGAGATTCCATGCTCCCCCTGAGCATGCCCAACCTCTCTGAGGTGAGAAGGGTTTTGGAGAGAGAGTTCTTTGAGATGATAATGCCAAGCCCAGAGGGACCCAGTGATGCTCAGGGGGGAAAGGTAGGGACTGGAGCCCAGGAGCCAGATGGGCTCAGGGAAACACCCCCAGAACATACCAGATCTTGGTATCCTTCTCAGATGCACAAGGGAATAAGTAGAGACTCAGTCTGCTTCACCCAGATGCCTGCAGGAAGGGCCAGTGCCCAGATCCCTGCATAGCAGAGAGCAATCCCTTCAGGGATCCCTTCAGCTTCCCCATCTGTCAAAGGGAGAGGGACTTGGGTGGGAGGGCCTTCTGGTGCTCTTTTCACTCCAGTTTGGTAAATTCAAGCAGTTGGCTTACCGCCTGTCTGTGCTCACACGTGCTCAGGGTGACATGGGGGGAGGGGCCACACCAGTGTGTATTTGGTACTAGATCTGCATTATTAGTAGTGGTGGCAGAATCAATACCCATAGTAATAGACTGGTAATAATAAGCAGGCCTTCAGAAAATAATATGTACAGAGCACATGAGACCCCTGGCCCAGGAGATGGGGGGCTCCCAAGTCATCCACTAAGGTGGGCAGGCAAAGAGGGGCCCACCAACTGGATGTGAGCACTCTTGACCTACCCCCTGGGGAACACCCCAGGAAGGGCAGATGGTTGAAGGAGCAGATGTCAGCCACCAACCCTTTCCTGAAATCCCATGGGCCCAGGACCTCAGGGAAGGAGGCAGGAGCACATTTATCTTCCTCTGACCATTTTGATTCTCACTCAGTCCCCAGAATGGCCAGATGAGGTATATATGACAAATATGATCCCTCATAGCCCATGTTGATGGCAGAGCTAGGAAAGGATGCTTCTGGAGTCCTTGGCAAGAAGGACTCCCTGTAAAGGAACAGGGGGGCTTGGCAGGGCAGCGAGGGGCTTCTGAGATAAATGCCAGGCTAAGGGATGGGATAAAGCAAGGCTCTAGTCATCCCTACTGGTCTCACAGCTCAAATCCTCAGCTGCAAATCACACCACAGCCAATGAGCTCCGTGGCTGATTATGAATGCAGCCCGCAGGAGGTGGGATGGGACCACTGGTTCAGCCAAGTGACTTCTTTACGGGGGACTTCCAGACATGGGGCTATAGAGCTAATGGGTGCTCAGAGGCTAGCAATGTAGTCACATCCCCTGGCCCATTCCTCCACCTTCCTACCGATAGCATGGATGTCTTGTTGTAAGGGAGAATGAGGCCAGATTTCACAATCTGTGAAAAATACTCCTGTTCCTTCCATCACTCCCCACCTCATCATCCACTCTTTGGCCCCTTTTAGAACTGGGCAGACTGAGGTTTAGCAGGAACTTGCTTCTCCGGAAGTCAGTGTCTGGGGCCTCAGACCACTGCTTTCTGTACACTGTCCCCCTGGGAGGATTAAGCAGGAAAGAAGTCCCCACCCTCCAGAAGCACAGCTGTCTAGTCAAGCCCCCAGTGGTTCAGGGTCATTTTGTCTACCTACAAGTTCTTCCTCAACTTGTGCTCACCATCAGACCCATCATGCCTTTAAAAACCCCTGGGGGAAGGTACAGAGTGAGGGGCCCCTCAGGGGAGTTGCCCATCTAAAAGGCTCATGTTCTTGGAATGGAGAATTTTGCTCTGGCTCTTCCTGGTAACCTTGGAGAGCAAGCTGATCTTGCTTCTGGGAGCAAGATCTGGAGGTGGGCTCACTGCCTCGGAGCCTGGACTCCAGAGTAGGCAAGAGGGAGGAGAAGGCAGACCATGAATGATCCCTAAGAGTAAGAGCAAAAGATCTCTGGATTGGGATGTTTAGGTCTCTGGAAAGGGGAAGCTAAGGAGTAGAGAGAACCCAGTGGAGCCAATCCCTCAAACTAGATGGACAGTCTTTTTTAGGAGAAAAGGGGTCCTGGTAAGTGTTCCTCAGAAAGGAATGTATGGAAATGTGAGGGGTAGTATTCCTTATTTCCTTAAAACCAAGCATCCCCTCCTTCCCGTCTACCAAATGAACAGGCAAGTCAAGGATACCTACCTATCTGTCCCCATCCATTCATCCATATGTCCACCTGTCCATCTATCCAACTGTCTAGATTTCCATCCAGTCATTAGTCCACCCACCAATCTGTCCATTCATCAATCTGTCCACTCCGTCCATCCATCCATCCATCGTCCATCTATCCAGGAAGGTCAGGCCCCAGTTGGTCTCCCCAGGGCTGCTGAGAAGGGCCTGTGGTCCTGTGGCATTTATGGGGCATGTGACCTGCCAGCCTGGCCTGGGGAGGCAACCCCGCCCCAGCCCTCAGGCAGGGGGCCGGTCCAGGCATGTGGGAGTATTTATACCTTGATGGAGGCTCCCTGGGTGTTGCTGGGCTGAATGACTCCCCGAAGCCGTGATGGTGGCCATGGCCCCGAGCCCACTGTGAGTGCTTGCATTCAGCTCTTCTGGGACCAGAGCTGGGTGGCTGGGGCTGGGGCTGGGGCTGGGGCTGGGGCTGGGGCTGGGCTGGAGAGATAGGAAGCTGTCCGGAGGTGGCCAGCGGTGGCAGAAAGGAAGGGGTGCAGGGCAAAGGAGAGTGGGAAAATAGGAAGCAGTTGGAGTCAGGCATCCACAGCAGAGCTGAGACCTACCCTGGAGAAGGAATGAGTCCACTGCCATTTACTAGCCTCTGGAGGGTCCCTTGGTGGCTGGCAGGCAGAACAGGGCAGGAGGACTAGATGACAAGGGAGATTAAGGTCAGATATCTGGAAGAACTTCCAGTTCAGCCCCAGACATGGAAGATGGCTCAAGTGCTTTATCAGGATGGGCACACTGGGGGATCGTGTAGGACCAGTCTATTTCCAAAAACAAGGGAATGGCTGAAGTGGCTTCTGGGAGAGCGCTGTTTTAGGGAGATGGGAATGGCTCCGCTGCAGGTGTCTGTGGCTCAGATTTGGGGGACAACTGCTCTTCATTCTTTGCTCTGCTCCATTCTGCCCCCTGCCTGTTTGTCCCTAGCTGCCTCTCAAAGCACTTTAATCAGATCTCAGGGCAGGGGCACCTGACCCTTTTCCTGAAACTGAGGCAGGGTGAAGAGCCAGGGGGGGCCAGAACTTTAGCTTTCGAACCCCCAATCTTGATGGGATGAAAGGATCTAGAAGTTCCCTCCTTCTCGGCACACTCAGACTCCCGTATCCTGGGGTGCACTAGGCTCAGGAGCAGCCCCTGGGCCCTTCCCTGCCACCCCCAACTAGGTAATTACTGAGCTGCTCCAGGGGGGCCCCTCCCAGCGGCCGGGCAGGCGGAGCCCCGGGTGGGGCCACAGGCAGCACCAGGCCCCGGCCCCACCCCTCATAAAACATGCTGCCGCAGCCAGTGACAGAAACCATTAAGGCGGAACTGCACCATCTCCACCTCTCTCATAAAGGGCGGGCAGGAGGCTGCCTGGTGGGTGGGAGCGTGCAGGGAGCCCCGTCAGGGCCCTCCGTGTCCTCTGTGACTCAGCTGCCCACAGAGGACCGACCCAGCAACAGACCCTCCCAAGGGAATCTCCCACGTGGCCCCTGACCCACTGCTCTGGCTTCCAGAGGTGTTGCTGAGCTGGGGCTGTGTAGTGTCATGGTTAAGCACCTTGGCTTTGAAGTCTGTCTGAATCCTAGGAGGCAGGCATAGTTTGGTAGCTGGGTGAACTCGGGTAAGTCGGGTTAACCTCGTCTATTCAATGAGGATGATAATACTCTTCTGGGACATAAAAATTCACCCAGCTGGTCCTGGTCCCCTTGAGGATGTCCTCAGGGAGGTCCCTCCTAAAGGCAGGGCAAGGGTGAGGGCCCTGCTGACAGCTCTGGGGACATGTACACCTCCGCAGGGCCTGTATCAGCAACTTTAGAGGCAAATGGTCCCAGCCCCCATTGTACTTATAAGGGAACAGAGGGGGCAGCCCTGGTGGCTCAGCGGTCTAGTGCCACCTTCAGCCCAGGGCCTGATCCTGGAGACCCGGATCGAGTCCCACGTCAGGCTCCCTGAATGGAGCCTGCTTCTCCCTCTGTCTGTGTTTCTGCCTCTCTCCCACTCTGTGTCTCTCATGAATAAATAAATAAAATATTAAAAAAAAATAAGGGAACAGAGGAACAGAAAGAGGATGTGACTTGGCCAAGGTCACACAACCAGCAAACAGGGTGTCCCCCAGCCCTCAACCCCAGATGGCCCCTTCTGCCTGAGTCCTAAACACTAGAAGAGTCTCAGAGGTGGGGAGATGTGCTGGGTAGAGGAGCACAGGGCCTGGTTGTTTGTGAGAAGGGTACAGAGCAAGGATTCCATAATGCTCTTGGTTGCTTCTGCTGTCATGCTTTCTGGGGAATTTCTTCCCATAGTGCTCCCTACTCAGGTTAGGGAGCAGGGACTCTGCTCTGACTTCTCTCTGACTCCAGGGAAAACCAAGTCTACTTCTTCCATCCCCATCCCTGCCTTCCAACTCTCCAAGTGTCATGGATGCCAAGTTACTGAAATGGTCTTCAGCTCCTTTTTAGTCAGGGTTGCACTCTAGAGTGTGTGTGTTTAGGGGTGTGTTTGGGGCTCTGGTGACCTAAGAATCAGGAGATGTGATTTTTAATTTCAGCTGTGTGGCACTGGGCATGTCACTTCCTCTCTCTGGGCCTCAATTTTCTCCTCTGAAAAATGGGGTTAATGAACTTGCTCCCCTACTGGTGGTGTGCTGACCAACGTCCACCAAACAGAAAAGGCTCTGATTTGTAGTGTTTACTAATGTCCCTGGGTAAGTATTTACACCATGGCCAGTCCAGACTGATTTGACTGAATGAGGAACTGGAGAGAAGTGGGCCCATGGGCCCAGTTGCTCTTGAAGCCCACAGTAGCTGTCTCCAGCACACCACTGCCTGTTAATCTCTGGGGCAAAGGAAGAACAAATGAGCAGACTTTGTAAACTGCAGAGTGCTTTATAGATGTAGAGTTGTGAGGACGATGGTCCAGACAGTTGAAGGGACCTCAGGGCACAGTCCACCACTGAGAGGCCTAGCCTAGCTCCAGCCCAGGAAGGGGACAGGCTGTGGGTTGGGGGAGCCCACACTAAGTGGCAGGGTCCTGGGAGCCATTTCTCATAGCTCCTGGGATCTGAGAAAGGAGAGCTGACTGAACCTCCCATGTGGTTTGCTGTTATTTGCACACACACACATCCCATCACATTCCCTAGAATGAAAGCAGGTAGGATAGAGGTTAGACTTCAAAATTCCCTCTGAATGCGGATGCCAACCTTAGGACACTGGAGCCATTAGCAAAGCCTCCTGAGCGATCCAAAGCAATAGAGTAGCCCTCCCCGCCCCCTACCTTCCCTGGGAGTTTCTACGGACACTGGCTTTAACATGAGAATAGCTGGAATGGTGTCTGAGGTCAGAAAGTCAAGAGGAGGGAAGTATAGCCTCTGCCAGTGCAGGAGGATGATGTCATGGAAACCAAGGGGGAGTTCTTCCCCCACCCCCAGAGCTCATGCTTTCAATTAACTCTGTCCCACTGCTAATTATTACTAATAGCTACTATTTATTGAGCATGTACTATGCATTAAGCTATTTACAAGCAATATTTCATCTAAGCTTCCAGAGAGGTATGTATTATTAGCCTTCTATTACAGATGAGGAAACTGAGGCCCAGGGAAGGAAGTGAAGCACCTTGCCCAACCAAAGTCACAGTTTCTGGAATTCAAACCCAATCTGACTCTGGAGCTTCTAAGCCAGATCATCCAACCTCAAGGGCACTGCTGGCTACTCCAGGAAGGGTTCTGGGGAGTCTCCCCCTTCTCCCTACAGTGAGCTCCTCCCTGTGCTAGACAGGAGCCCCTCATATACATCAGTCAGAGCCCCACTGCTTGGCCCCTTTTGAATGCAGTTGGTAGAGGACCCCCTGTTTCAGGAGCTGTGTGGTCTTAAGCAAGTCACTGCACTTCTTCTCCAGGCCTCCTCTCCTCATTCATAAACCAGAGTTTGGGCTGGGGTGACCAAGGGAGCATCACTGAATCAGGAGTTGCCACCTCTAAAACCAGGCCAGGGGAAACCCTGCTCAGAGGGCCATTCCAGGGCTTCTGCATCCTCAGTGCAAATGGACAGGTGGGCCTCTGAGCTCTCTATAGACTCCCTGGTTTTAATCCTATCCCTGTGGGGCTTGGAAGAGGGGGATGGTGGTTTGGCCGAGTCAGAGTGTAAAAGTCATGGCTGTGTGTGAACTAAAGCCTATGGTGAAGGTCTCTGAGATGCTGGAAGTCAACCAGGGCTCCAGATGATGTCCTGGGACATAGAGGCTGATACAAGGATGGGGGTGAGCCAGAGGCTTCAGGGGGCCTTCACCGAAGGCCAGACCCTCAGCAGGATGTGCAGCCCACGCTGGGACTCAAAGAGGCCTCCTCAGGTTCACGTCTCAGAGAGGCAGAGCTGGGGTCTCAGCCCCCTGAGGCCAGGCTGAGTGAAGGCCAGGCATAGAGGGCAGGGGTAGAAGGGACAGCTGCCACCTGGGGGTCACTGGCCTATCTCCCCAGATCTGCCAGACCCAAAGCTGCAAGACCAGCAGGGAAACTAGAGTCTGGAGTCACAGGTCACAGCCACATTTGGCCAATAAGGCCAAATGTATGACATGCGTCCTTGAGCATTTTCTATGTGCTGGGCATCCTATACACATTGGCTATCTCTCTCTCTCTCTCTCTCTCTCTCTCTCTCTCTCTCTCTCTCTTTTAAAAGATTTTATTTGTTTATTCATGAGAGACACATGAGAGAGGCAAAGATGCAGGCAGAGGGAGAAGTAGGCTCTCCATGAGGAACTGATGCAGGACTTAATCCCAGGACCCTGGGATCACGACATGAGCCAAAGGCAGACGCTCACCACTGAACCACCCAGGTGCCCCTGCATTGGTTCTCTTAACCTTCATGATGATCTTGTGAGATAGGTCCACAAGCCCTATTTATCAGAGAAGCAAGATACAAAAAATTACACAGTTGCTTCAAAATCACACTGCTAGGGATACCTGGGTTGGCTCAGTGTTTGAGCATCTGGCTTTGGCTCAGGTCATGAGGGTCCTGGGATCGAGTCCCACATTGGGCTCCCTGCACCGAGTCTGCTGCTCCCTCTGCCTATGTCTCTCTTTCTCTGTATCTCTCATGAATAAATAAATAATCTTTAAAAGAATAAAAGAAGAGAAAAAAAATCACAGCCAGGAAGTGACACAGCTTGGACTCAAACTCAAGTCAAACCAAATCTGCAACCCTTGCTCTTATGCGTATACTATCCTGCCTCCAGAGAGAGGAGCAACCATTGCCTCATGGGTTACAAAGTGTGAGACATGGGGGAAAAGGGCCCCCCCGCATTTCCCCTGGAGGTGCTGGAGAAGGCTTGGGAAAGCAGCTCTGGGCCAGATCCAGGCGTGGCAGGCAAGCCCCAGCTGTCCTGGAGCTGTCCGGGGAACAGGGGCCAGGCGGGCAGTCATGCAGAGCCAGAGATGGGCTGCCCCGCACCTCGGGCCCCATGCCTGCTCCCCTGTGGTGTCCAGTTACGGCCAGCTCGGTGCTTCCCTGGTCACGCCACATTTAGCATTGCTGAGTGAGCGGGTGCTGGGACATGGAGAAGGGGCGGTAGAGACTCTTGTAGCGGCAGGAGAGCCTCCCACCGGGCCCCACCCCCAAACCCCCAGCTACTAGCCCCCTCCGCCATTGATCCCCTGATGGGCTTTGGGCAAATGCCCTCCCTTCCTTGTCCCCATTACCCCCAAACAAAGGTAGGAGGTAGTTTATTTATCAATGGCGTGCCAATCCCAGGCTTGGCCCCATGGGGTCCCAGGAGAGCTCCTGGGAGAGCAGGGCCTGGGAAATGCATGGTTATCCTGATCTGTTTGGTAGAGGCCTCAGGGAGGAGGGGTAAGTGTGAACCTCATGCTTGCCTTATTGCTTGACACACCAGCTTAGCCCACACCCACTCTGGCCCCCCACCAAATGAAGAAACCTTAAGGGGGTACAGCGAACAGACCTGGGCTTGAGTCTTGACTCTGTTAAGGATTAGCTATGTGATTTGAGCAGGTCATGTAACCCTGCTGAGCCTCAATTTCCTCAACTATAAAGTGGGGTTAATAATGTATCTTTCTTCCCGGTTTGTTCTGACAAACCAATGAGAAAATTTTCCAAATTGTTCACACAGCAGCCAGCCCAGAGCAGGCCCTCAGCAAATGGAGGTCTTTATCAGAGACTACTTGGCAAAGAGGAGTACATTCAAGAGGAACTGCCCTTTGCAGGTGGTGGAGAAGGAAGGCAGACAGCTGAGGATGATAATAGTAAGGCTGTACTAATAATGATATTAATAACGAGAGCTGGCATCTATTGAGCACTTACCGTGTGCTAGGCGCTGTACAAAATGCTTCCTATGCGTGATTTCATTTACTACAGCATCCCTATGCGGGAGGCCCTACCTCTCTCCCTGCTCTGTACATGCTGGTGTCGGAGCTCAGAGAGCTTCCCTAACACAGGTAGCAAGAAAAGGCTTAGAGCTAATTCCTCTCAACCTCTGGGCTGTGCTGGGGACAAAGTTCTGTAATTCTAGAAGATCGGAGTAGAAAGGGCCCTAAGCTATCATCTACCACAAGCCCCCTAGTTTTTCAAATAGTGAAACCAAAGCTCAGAAAGGGCAGTGGCCTGGGGGGCATGTGGCTGGCTCTGTGGGTAGAGCATGTGACCCTTGATCTCAGAGGTTATGAGCTTAAGCCCCATGGGGGGTGTAGAGATTACTTAAAAATAATTTTTTTAAAAAAGGTCAGTGGCCTGTACAAGGTCATAGGTACTAGATGCAGTCTGGAGGCGGCAAGAGGCCATGCCAGGCTCACAGGGCCACCAGGCAACCAGGTCCCTTCAAGTCCCCAGTGGCACACTGGTCCCACCAGTCCCTAAAGTGGCACCACAGGCCCAGCCTCTATGGAGAGCTGGGTCCCCTGCAGCATGAGGATAACTCCCACCCTAGGCCTGGGCTTGACCCTCTCTCTCCAGCTCCTGTCTTCTCTCAGAACCACGCACTTGCTCAGCCACCAAGCAGAGGCTGCTCGCCATGGTCACCTAGGCCAGTCCCTCACTGGGGAGATCGGGGCTAGAGGCAGGGTCTCTAGGGAACCATCTGCAGTTGAGCTCCAGAGCAGTCAACTCTCCCTCCTGGGGCTGGGGGCTGACGGGGGAGTGGGTGGTGCTCACTCTCCCCACCAGCCTTCTCTCTGTGGTTTCTTCCTCGGTCTCTCATTGTTTATCTGCCTCCTTCTGTCTCTGATGTTTCTCTCACTTTGCCTGTTTATCTGCCTGTCTGTCTGTCTGTCTGTCTCTCTGTGCCTCACCAGATGTCTGGCTAGAGTGAAGGTTCCAGCCCAGGGATAGGGTGGGAATGGAGGAGGTGAACTTGGGGTTGGTCACCCCAGGACCCTGGTCCTCACTCTCATCACAGCCGACTTTCTTCGAGGCCAGGACTGGGTGATGGTGTCACTACTCCCGCCGCAGTCTGACGCCACACTGCCCGGCCCCACCAGACTGGAGGGCGAGCCCCAGGGGGACCTCATGCAGGCACCGGGCCTCCCAGGCTCCCCTGCTCCACAGAACGTAAGTACCTGGGTGCCTTGGCCTGAGGACTGCATAGCAGCTGCTGGACCAGTCACCCCCACCCCCAGGGACCTCCTGGGATCTGCCCTGTCACTTCCACCAGTGACCAAGTACTCAGTGACTCCAAGATCCAGCAGTGCTCGGATACAGGCTTCTGCTGATCCCTTCAGTTTGGGGCTAGGGCAGCGCTGTGCATCCATCAGACTTGGGGTACCTCAGATCTAGGAGCAGTGTGCCCTCATCAGATTAGGGCTTCCAAGGGTGGTCTATGTCTCCTTGATTGTTTGGGGGCCCTCCAGAGCTCAGCCGCAGACCCCTTTACCCTAGCACAGAGTAGGGTCCTGGTCCAGCCTCTACTCACAGGCTCTCTACCCTCTATCCATCCCAGAAGCTTGCCGGCTTCAGCTGCTCATCATTTGTGCCCGACGGCCCTCCAGAGAGGGCAGCCTCACTGCCCCCACAGAGCCCCAGCGTCGCATCACCAGGGCCTGAGCAAGTCCACTGCCCAGCCGGCCCTGGCCCGGGCCCCTTCCGGCTCTCGCCCTCAGACAAGTACCCCAGCTTCGGCTTTGAGGAGGGCCCAGCAAGCAGCCCTGGGCGCTTCCTCAAGGGCAGCCATGGGCCTTTCCACCCCTACAAGCGGCATTTCCATGAGGACGTCTTCCCCGAGGCCCAGACTGCCCTGGCCCTCGATGGACACTCCTTTAAGACCCCAGGGGCGCTGGAGGCCTTCGAGGAGATCCCCGTGGATGTTGGGGAGGCTGAGGCCTTCCTGCCTGGCTTCTCAGCAGAGGCCTGGTGCAACGGGCTCCCCTACCCCAGCCAAGAACACAGCCCCCAAGTCCTGGTGAGTACCAGTGGCTGGTGGGCATCCCATCTACCCCCAGGGGTCCTAGTTCCCAGAATGAGTCCTCTGAGATCAAACTCCACCTTCCCTTCCCAGACCTTTCCACTCAGGGTCAGTGTGCCAGGGAAGTGGCAAGCTCACAAAGCTGGGGTCTCGACTTCATTCTGGCCTCCAAGTCAGCTGGGGAGGGGATGCTGACTTGCCCCTCCCACCGCCCCCCCCCCCCAGCATGGACGGGGTGGAGTGGGGGAGGCAGATCAGTCTAAGGAAGCTGGCAGCTTCCCAGAGGCTCCTGAGTCAGGATTCCGGTGTGTGACTTCTCTATTTGTTTAAGTGTCAGAGAATCCCCAGCCAGACCTACCCGCCCATATGTAAATGTGAGAAGAAAAACACATTCCAGAGACCTAGAGAAAGGGTTTAGGGAGGAGCCACAGAGCACAAGGTTCCCTCTCCAGCATCAGCGTACATGGTTGAGAGAGCTTCCAGGCCCCATTCTTTGCCCAGAATGTAGCCTGTGTATATTCATAGAAATACCTTGAAAGCACCTTGGAAGGTCAACATGCCCTTCCACTGCCATACCCACGCTGTGTGATCTTGGGCAACTCACTTAACCTCTCTGAGCCTCATCTGAAAAAATGGTTAAGAGGACCAGCCTCACAGTCTTGTTGCCTTGGGAAGAGGAAAGCTAAAGGGAAGTTTGGAGATCCCTGAGGTAGTGAGCACTGAGCGGGCTCAGCCTGGGTTGTGCCTACTTAAGATGCCCACCAGCTCTCCACACCTCTTGCTTTCACACAGGTTCCCATTCCATCCCCAAGCCACCCCAGACAAAGCCTGATTCCCAGGCTTGGAAGATAAGGAAGGGGTTGGGTACCTACCAGGTGTGACCAAGACAGGGACTCTTGGTACTGGAGTCCTTTGATGGCTTCTCCTCAGGTCCATTGAACTGACAGCTGTTCATGGTGAGGGCACAATCATATTAGCTGCTGCCTTCCCCAAATGTCCACCCAGTGCCAGTTCCTGAGCACTGTGCCAGATGCTTCCTCTCAAGGACCCCCACTTACTCCTCACAGCAACCCTCAAAAGACTTCCCACTATCCCCATTTTGCAGATGAGGAAACTGAAGTTCCAAAGAGGTCAAGTGACTTTCCCAAGGTGTCCCTTGGCCTGTAGGAAGTGAGGCTGATTTGAGCTCACTCCCTTCCCCCTGCACATTGGAAAGGAACTCAGGCCCAGGGAACTGCAGCTGCTAGTCGACTCACTGGGTGACCTTGTACACATCACTTCCCCTCAGTGGGCTCAGCCCCATCATCTTCCAAATGAGGAGGTTGGACAACGGCCCTTCCGGGCCTGAGATTCTATGATGGTGGCTATCTCTGCATCAGCAACCCCAGGGCACATCAAGAAAGAGGTCACTGTTGATTTGACCCTCTGGGCCCAGAAGCTGGTTCCCAAGGGCCCTTGGGAACCTCAAGAAGAGTGGTCTACCTCCTTCTTCACCTTCTAGTACCTAGCTGTCCAATCTTTCTGACTAGTGCTAGATTCCAGAGGCTCCATGTGGACCTCACGACCTCAGGAAGCCAGAGTCTGGCCGTCTCTGCCAGTAGCAGCTGCAGATTCCCTGTGCCTGGGTGAAATAGTGCCATGGGACTCAAGCAGACCAGCAACTGGGTAGACTCCCTGGATCAGAGAGCAAAGGCCTTTGAGTTGAGGATGACCAGGAGACAAAGTGGAGAGGACTCATCAGCCGCCTCCCAGGAGCCTGCTGGAGCTCCCCTGGGCTTTGCAGAGGAGGAGGTGGCAGGGCTTGGGTCACCAGCTGGGCCAACAAGTCTGACCACTTCCTGTGCTCCCCTTACTGTGGCCCTGCAGTGGGAATTCTAGAACACTAACCTTTTCCAGATGTCCTCCACAGACCTGTTCTGAGAGGCCAGCAGCTCTGAACCAAGTGGGCCCCAAGCCAGGCTTGAGTGGGATCAGGCACTATATCCTTGTGCTATTCCAGAGGGATCTCTGACCCTACCCAACCTCACTGTGATCATTGTCAAATCTCCCCCACTCCTCTGGACAGCTCGGCCTCTGTCTCTCACCTGAAGTGAGGTGGAGGGGTAGGGAGTACTGTCGATTCCAGCCCTGGCTCCCCCATTAACTTACTGAGTTCCCTCAGGAAAATCCCTGACCTTCTCTGTTCTCCATTTGTTCTCCAGGACTAAGCTTTGGGGGAGGCAGAGTGGAGGTTGCTTCTGTGTAACTTTCAAGCCACAGAAAAGAGGGAGGAAGAAAATCAAGGTCCCACCTGGTCATCTGTGTTTTTTTCCAGCAGGGGTCAGAAGTCAAGGTCAAGCCCCCAGCTCTGGAGACTGGTCCTGGGATGTACTGTTACCAGCCCCCCTTGCAGCACATATACTGTCCCTCCCAGCCCCCATTCCACCAGGTGGGTCAGAGGCAGGTGGGCATGCATCCCTGGGGCCTCAGCATATTACGTGGTGTGAGGTGTGTGAGCGTATACATGACTGTGCACACTTGCAATGGCAGGTAGGGGCAGCCCGAGGTCCAGGATCCACCTAGGGTCGGGGGCCAGGGGATAATGGGGAAGGAAGCAATTTCCCTTCTCTAGGAGTAGGTGGGGTTCATCCAACAGTCTTAGACAGAGAATCTCAGGAAAGAGAGTGGGGCTGAGATTGGGACAGGGTTCAGACATGAACCAAAAAGAGCAGGAGGAGGAGAGCCAGACAAAGGCAGGGGTGGAGAGAAAAGGAGTGTGTGGGGCGACACACAAGACTGAGCAGAAAGGGAACAACAGGCTCCTGTCTGGGTCAGCCACTGTCTGGCTATGTAGCCTTGGCCCCAAACTTCCCTTTCACCTAGACAGGGTGGGAGCAGGCATAGAGTGAGGGGACCTTCCCACCTGGAAGGCTCCAAGACCCCATCATCTTTGGCTCCTTCCCTCTTCTCCACCCCACTGCCCAGCCTCAGCTCCCCTGACATGGACAGGATGCCCAAGTAATCGCCCCGCATTGGCATGGGATGCAGGTTTTTAAAAAGAGAAAGAAAAGAGCCCCAGAGCATCCAGGCAGCTCCCAGGAGTCACTGGGCAAGACGGAGCAAGTGGCTGCCCAGAGCCCAGCTCTATCCACCTGCAGCCTGGCACTGAGACAGGCCCTGCCTGTGGAGCAGGTTCCACTCCCAGCTCTTTAGCCTTGGCCCTGATCTTGGCCCTAGCCAGGGAGGCAGGCACGTGGGGGGGAGTGGGGGAGGTGGTCAGACTGCTTGCTTTGGGGCGGGGGATGGAGGGAACCAGAGGGAGCACGTGAGGCATCATCCTTGCCACCATGAGGAGCCTAGCTGGAATGGCTAAAGCCATCCTGAGGCTCAAGGTCTTGAGGGTGTCCCTGAGGCAGCCTGGCCCATCGGGGCCTGAGCCACAGCAAGGTTAAGGGGCTGCCAGACCTTAAATGGCCTCACCATGCCCAGCCCTGCTTTGATTGTTTTCTGAGTTCTGTACCCCCTACCCACCCCCCCGAACAAGATGGCCGCACCCAGGGCTTTATAGAGCCTGCAAAGAGGGTGACTCAGGTACTAAGTGTCTCTCGGGTGACCTGGAAAGAACACTTCAGCCTGGAGCATATGGGGGAGTCAGAGTCTCCTACCCCCTTTGCCCCCATAAAACACCACCCCTGGCACCGCAGCCACTCCCTTTGCCGTAAAAACACCTCCTACCCCCACCTGCCCACCACCATGACCAGCCCTTTCAAAGAGCCACTGAAACTCGTAAAAGGTGGCAGTGCCCAGCAAACGAACGCCCAGGCTGGACACCCCACTTCCGACCCAGCTGCTCCAGGAAATGTGGGGGAGGCCTGGAGGACCTCACACTCTCTAGCCCAGCCAGGATGCTTCCCCATCACCATGGCAACCAGAGTACCTAGATGGCTTGGAAGAAAGGCACTTTGAGGCCTCTGAGATTCCAAATTTGGGAATGTGGATCTCCTCAGAGTCTCTCAGATGTCCACACCCTTAGCCAGCCCCCTCAGATTCAGATGGCTCTGCTTTTGGAGCTCATAACCAGGGAGAGAAGAATCTAGCCTCAGCTCCCCCTCTGGATGTACATGAAGTGGGGGGAAGGGCACCACCATCTTGGGAAAGATTGGTTACTATGGCAACCATTCTGCCCCTTTGACCTCTACAGTACTCACCAGGTGGTGGCAGCTACCCCATACCGTACCTGGGCTCCTCACACTATCCATACCAGCGGATCGCACCCCAGGCCAGCACTGATGGGCACCAGCCCCTCTTTCCCAAACCCATCTACTCCTACAGGTAAGTTTCTCAGCACCCCTGGGGTGGATGGAAGAGGGGTAAGAGCACCAGTGGGGAAAATGAGGCATGGAATCCTCAAGGTATATAAGGTGATGGTAGAAAATGGAAGTCATACCCAGTAGGTTTTGAGAGGATGCTGGAGAGGAGATTCGTTCATGGGGGCAGGCGGATGGACTAGATCACATCTGACCTTTTGTCTAACCCTGGGGAGCCAAGTCAGTGGCTCTACCTGGCAGGGGCTGGTGCCCTGAGATGGGCCCCCTAAGCTCTAACCTCCTGGGGCCCAGGGCCTGGGACTGACAGTTTAGGAGGGATGCTCGCCCCCTTCCCCCTCCCTTTCCCCTAGATACAGAGAGAAACCCAACCCCAAAGCTCTGCTGGAAATAAGTGAGGGATGAGGCCTGCAGACACAGCTCAGGGGTCCACCACCTGCAAGATTGGAGCTGGGGTTGTAAGCCCCAAGCCTGCAACACCCAATGCCTCTAAGAGACCTTCCCACCTGAACCCTCATTCATCCAGTTAACAGTGAGGCTTCACCTCCTGTGTGCCAGGCCCCACAGGGGGTCAGGTCATTAGCCAGTGCGAGCTCAGGGAAGGAAAAGGAACGCAAACAGCAGCCAGAAGCATGGAGAAGAGTTTTGGGGGAGGCAGGATGATGATGCACACCCAATCCTTGGAGTCCAACAGAACTGAGTTCAAGTCGAGGTTCTAGAATTCACTAGCTATGGGGGCACCTGGGTGGCTCAGTCAGTTAAGCATCTTCCTTCAGCTCAGGTTATGATCTCAGGGTCCTAGGATTGAGCCCTGCATCAGGCTCGCCTGCTCAGCATAGAGTCTGCTTTTCCCTCTGCCCCTCTCTCAGCTCATTATCTCTCTCCCTCCCTCCCTCCCTCCCTCCCTCCCTCCTCCTCCTCCTCTCTCTCTCTCTCTCAAATAAATAAATAAAATCTAAAATTCAGTAGCTGTGAAGTCTCAGGCAATCTCTCTGAGCCTCTATTCATCTGTTAAAAAAAAAAAGGAACAGCCATATTCAGGCCTTTGGAAAGATTAAGTGAGAGAATATGCCTGGCACATTGTAGGGGTTCAAGAAAACTTAGTTCCCTTCCTTGCTGTCTGACAGTGTGCAACTGGCTGGGGCCTGGCTGGTAATGATGGCTTCCATTTAACGAGTGTCTTCTATGTTCTAGGCATCATCCTTAATCCTCACATCTCTGAGGTAGCTATTACTTTCCTTACTTCAAAGCTGAGGAAACTGAGGTTCAGAGAGGTTAAGGCACTCACCCAAGGTCACACAGCCAGTGAGTGGCCAAGCCAGTATGACAACCCAGGCCTCTCAGATGCCACAAGACCCTTGTGTATAAGTAATTCCCAACGTCAGTAGACACCTTCTCATCCTTTCTCCTTTCAACCTTATAGAGCCTCTCACCTAAGTCTCCAGCAGTTTATTCCTCCTCAACTACTCCAGCCAGGGCAGGTGGAGTGGGAAGGGGGAGACTTCCGGCCTGCTCAGAAGTCCAAACTCTCAAAGTTTTCTCTGCCTTCAGCATCCTCATCTTCATGGCCCTTAAGAACAGTAAAACTGGGAGCCTTCCTGTCAGCGAGATCTACAATTTCATGACGGAGCACTTTCCCTACTTCAAGGTGAGCCCAAGATCCAACCCTAATCTTACCATCCCGAGTCCTGGGCCAGCCAGGCCTCTCTGGAGCCAAAGGGTTCAGTTAGAAGGCAGAGCAAGGATCAGAATGAAAGCCAGGAGAGGGTTTGCCTCCTCCACACATCCTCTTGTCTCCACTTCAAAAAGTCCTAGGTCATTCCGCCGAGGTTACACAGCAGTCTAGGAGTCAGATCTATGTTGGTGGAAAGCAGACATGTCGGCCCGGATAGGCTTCAAGAATCATCCACCTATCCCAAGTGGAGAGGAAGAGCTTGGGAAGAACTGAGAGACCATCCCCACCCCTGGCCCCAGGATGCTGTAGGGTTAGAGGAATCTGAGTAAGAGCTAGCCAGCCAGGGTGGCATGGGATCCTGGGACCACAGAACCCGCTGCCTTCCAGGGAGAGATTAAGATCTGCCTCTGTGGGTGGCAGGCTCAGCCGCAGTTCTGCCAGAAAGCGGGGTGTGGGCTTCATGGTATTCAAGTGTCCCAGGGAACTGGGTGGCTCACTTGACCTTCCCAAGTACAGTATCTAGTTCCTGTCATCCACTGAGGGGGCTTCTGAGGGCTCTTCTGGACTAGAGGCAGGAGAGGTGCCCTTCTCTCCAGATGGGCAAACACATCAGAAGGGGTGATCCACCTACTCAAGGTCACACAACAGAGGGGATCGATTGTTGGCTCAAGCTGTTTGGCTTCACACATCAACCTCTTCCCTCCCTTCTCTGCATGCCCCCCATACCCTCCAGCACAGACCTCTTCTTTGGGGTGGGGGCAGAGATCAGAGCTTGTGTGTGAGGAGTGCCTTCTCCAAGGTCCAGACCCTGGTGGAGATAATCTTGCCTGCTAACCAGGCAGGAGGTAGATGCTGAGGCCCAGGTCCAGAACTCATCTCCATCTGCCAGTAGGGGGATTTTAGCCCCACTCTCTTCTCAGTTGTCCTGCCTGAGGATAATCTGAAGCTGATACTCAAACAAGTTTGTACTTGCTGCATTGCCATCAAATGAGGAGTGGGCAAGATGACCAGAGTGGTCTGGCCAGGAATGGGAAAGTATGGTCATCTATCTACCAGTGATTCTGGAAGGGAGAGGAGGAGGGAAGAGAGTTGTCTCTGCGATTTGAGAAGCATCAAAGCCAGCATCCAGGGCTGCCCCTTTATCCCAACAGATCTAGAGACAAGACCCTCCCTATGCCCTATAGCTTGTGGAGGGTCCTCTATAGGGCTTCACGGGGCCCGGCCAGAGAGAGGGAAGTGAGGGCCCTGCCCTGTTCCTCTCAGCCATTCCTCCCTGCCAACTCCCGGCCTGGCCCCCAGCCCCTCCCTGCATCTCATCTTCCTGGCTTAATTATTTTTTCTGGGAGCCATGTAATCCCTGTTTTATGGGGCTGAAGAGTGAAGAGGTCTAACAACTTTTTTTTTTTTTGGTTCTAGTTGTTGTTCTTAGCCAATTGCATCACTCCCTCACTCCTGAGTTTACATTTGACTTCAGAGAGAAAGCATCTGTGAGGATGGGACGGGCCCCAATGGGGAAGCCAGCACTATGGGGTGACCTGGGCAGGGCCCTTAATAAGGGGACAGAGCTGGAGTCTGGGCTCTGTCACTGCCTCCTGTGTGATCTAGGGCCAGCCTCTTTCTTCCCTGGACCTCAGTTTCCCAATCTGTAAAATGGTCAGGTTGGACCAGTTGGCACATACATTCCTTCCAACTCAGACGGCTCCCCTCTGACCTACCTAAGGAATTAGTTCAAAGATCCCCTGTCCCCTTTATCACTCACTCTCCATTTGAAGGTCATTTTTCTGGGTAAAAACAGAGTGGACCCTGGGGTGGGTGGCATTCATGCCCAAGGCAGCTGAGGTGGGCGTCCTGTAGCCCCATGAGTCAGGGATGTGGGACTGGGGAAGTGTCCAGCCACTGGACATAATTATTAGTGCTGACCATCCTTCTTCCAAACAGGAAGTGGCTGGGGTGGGGGCTGCCCTGGCATCCCAAAGTCACAGATTTATGGGCCTATAAAAAGGCCCAGTGCACATTAACTCTGCCCATCAGGCGACACGGCCTGGACTTCTAGTAGGAACTGTTGTGGGAGTTGACAGTGAATCCCCAGCTGACCAGTCTGGTGGCTCCAGAATCCCTCCTTATGACCCTGCGAGCCTTGGGGGTCATCTCAACCAGCCCCTAGCCCCAGGCCAGCTCCCCTCTGAGAAAGGCTCCAACAGCTCCTGCCAGCAACTTGCAGTGACGCTGGCATTGGGACCCAGTTCTGCTGGGCGTGATTCAGCCTGGCTGCTCCCTGGGGCAAGGGAGCTGGGGAGGAGGGAGTGGCCGCCCCTCATTATGCAGACACTGCAGGCTGAAAGGGAAAAGGGACCAGGGGGTGAGGGTATGGGGGCCCCACTGGCTGGAGCAGATGCTTTGCCCATAACCCTGCCGGGCCCAGGACTATCACAGAGGCTGGAACAGAGCTGGAAGGGGGGGTGGGGGTACCCACTGGCACCCCTGCCGCCACCTCTCACCCAACTGAGTCAGCCTAATGGTTTTTACAACCCTCCCTGGGCACAATTATTGCACTGGTGGTATGACCAGGCCTCCTAATGGGTGTTTATTCTGTTGGCACGAGCCCCCCCCCACTCCCCACCTGAGGGCTGGCCTCCCCACCTGGGCACGCCTCCCAGGCACCCTCATGTGAACATTCACACCCACACACACATGCACAATCATGGACACCCCCACATACCCAGAGAGACTTTCTCACACACAAACATCCTCACACTCAAATGAATTCACAGACCCACACAGGAGACAAGCTTACACCAAGGAGACATACTTAGGGACACATGCGTACACATACACATACACATAGCCAATCTATCCCTCCCCCCCAACCAAAATGCAGGTATACACACAATATATGAGCAACATGTGCACACATCCAAATACAACCTCATCCATTTTTTCTCCTGAGTTTGCTCAAGCAGGGATGAGGCAGACCCAGGAAAGGAGCATTCCTCAGCTTCCTCCCCATTCCAAAGCTGGCCTTGGGGAGACCTGAGAGTTGTGAGGGGTCCTAGCACAGCCTGAAAACCAGGGGGACTGGTCCAACTCCAGAGGAGGAACCGGCCCTCCCTTTATGAGCCATCCCAATAATCCTCTGAAGGGTCAGCCAGAGGTGGGGGTGGCATTGAAGGCAGATTTTAGGTGAAAATAATTTGTAGTCAAGGTTCCTCCCTGCCCCTTCCCCACCACTGAAGGGTACCAAGCATGGGTTGGGTGCTGAGGAGGATGACAAGCCCCAGAAAGGGTGGCGGGTCTGTGTCCAGAGGACAAAGAAGTTTTCTGGAGCCCAGACCTGGCTCAGGCTTGTTGACCCTGGCCTGAACTTTGTCTTGCTCTGCTCTGGCAGACAGCGCCTGACGGCTGGAAGAATTCTGTTCGCCACAACCTCTCTCTTAACAAGTGCTTTGAGAAAGTGGAGAACAAATCAGGCAGTTCCTCTCGCAAAGGCTGCCTGTGGGCCCTCAATCCGGCCAAAATTGACAAGATGCAGGAGGAGCTACAGAAGTGGAAGAGGAAAGACCCTATTGCTGTGCGCAAGAGCATGGCCAAGCCAGGTAAGAGGCTGAGGGGGCAATGCAAGAGAGGGCCCAGGGTGCCCCGGAGCTGAGGGGGGTGCAGGGCGGGGAGGAGGGAGGAATTGGGTGGCAGGGAGGGAAAGAGGGAGAGAAGCTGAGCTAGTGAACTGATTAGTGAGAGTAGCCTGAGTGGTTCCAAGGCTGGGGACAGATTGTGGGGAAAGGGAATTCTCATGGTATCCCTCTCTCTTTTCTCTTGGGCCTTTTCAGAAGAGCTGGACAGCCTCATTGGAGAGAAGAGGGAGAAGCTGGGTTCCCCATTGCTGGGCTGCCCACCCCTGGGGCTGGCAGGCTCAGGCCCCACCCGACCCCTGGCCCCTCCAGTGGGGCTCTCCCAGCCACTGCATCCAATCCACCCAGCTTCGGGCCCCATTCCTGGCAAGAATCCCCTGCAGGACCTACTTGGGGGGCACGTCCCCTCTTGCTATGGGCAGACATATTCACACCTCTCACCGGGCCTGGCCCCTCCTGGACCTCTGCAGCCATTGTTCCCACAACCAGATGGGCGCCTTGAGCTGCGGGCCCAGCCAGGCACCCCCCAGGACTCGCCTCTGCCTGCCAACACCCCACCCAGCCACAGTGCCAAGCTGCTGGCTGAGCCTTCCCCGGCCAAGACCATGCATGACACCCTGCTGCCAGATGGAGACCTTGGCACTGACCTGGATGCCATCAACCCCTCTCTCACCGACTTTGACCTCCAGGGTGAGCAGGGCTGAGAAAAGGAAGGTGGGACAGGACTGCATAGATGCATCTGGCAGTGTGGCCCATCCCCTCCAAGGCTCCAGGACATGACCTGCTAGCTGCCAGGTTTCTGATCAATGGAAACAGAAAAATCCCGAGCTGGCAAGGGGTGCCAAGGGGTGAAGAGGAATGTTCTTGCCCTATCTCCCTTCTCCTGGTGCCCCTGAACATGTTCCCACTGACCCCATCATCTAGCCACTCTCAGCTTTGGGGAGGTGGGAAAGAGCCCAGTGTTATATTCCATATTGGCTGTGAATGACTGCCAGTCTGAAGTGGTTGCATCTTCTCATTCATCTTTTAATGCAGAAGGAGAGAGATCTTCCCCCAGGAAGAGTGTAAGGCTTCAGAACTAGGCAGGTCCTGGAGAGGTTTGGCAGGAGGAGTCTGGGAAGAGGTTCTATCGATTCCATTCCATTTTGCCTGCTTTTTTCTACACGTGGTCAAGCCCACCCATTCAGATCCAGTGCTTGCCCAGGCCCTGGGCCCGGCCACAGGAGGTTTGGAGGGGGTACGGACCCAGGCCTCAGACCCCCCTGGGTGCCCTGGGCTAGGGGGACATCCACAAGCAGGTGGAGACAGCTGGCCCTCACAGAGCTCCAGGCTGTGTGGAGGAGATGGCTCAGGTCTTGGTAAGCATGTTAGAAACATGCAGCTAGATCCTCAGCCCCGTCCAGAAGTGGGGAGCATTCTCAACACTCACAATCAGCAATCATGTGAGTTGCTTTACCAGTGCTCCAGGCTCCACTTCTCTCCCTCAGGCCTACAGTGGAGGAGCCCCAGGGAGCTAAGCACAGCCAGCTCACTGGGTTTAGCAGCATGTTGTTGGAAGATCCTTGGTTTTGGCTGCAGGTGCACCTTCCTTAGGAGTTTGGGCAGGAGCCCCGGGGAGGGGGGCAGTTCCAGGGACGCCCTCTGCAGGCTAACTCCAGGGTGCACAGCGTAGGCATAAGCATCAGCCCTTCCTTATTTATTTATTTATTTATTATTTATTTATTTATTTATTTATTTTTAAGATTTTACTTATTTATGAGACAGAGAGAGAGGGAAGCAGAGACATAGGCAGAAGGAGAAGCAGGCTCCACTCAGGGAGCCTGATTTGGGACTTAATCCTGGGACTCTGGGATCACACCCTGAGCCAAAGATAGACACTCAACCGCTGAGCCACCCAGGCATCCCGCGTCAGCCCTTCCAATAGGTCAGCTCTCAAGTCCTTGCCCACTTCACCTCCCTCGAAAAAAAGAGCCCCAGAGATCATCTAAAAGCTATGGCAGAGGAATATGAGAGTTCTAGCAACTGCCTGGTGCCAAGGGTCTGTTCCCCCATCAAGGTAACCCCAATCCTGATCTCTTTAGCACGCAAGAGCCATGGAGTGGGGGGAGACAGGGCTCTTTGGTACCTCCCAGTGACTCCTGATCTCTCTCCCAACTAGGAAACTTGTGGGAACAGCTGAAGGATGACAGCTTGGCCCTCGACCCATTGGTACTGGTGACCTCATCCCCAACATCATCGTCAATGCTGCCACCTCCGCCACCAACCCATTGCTTCCCACCTGGGCCCTGTCTGGCAGAGACAGGCAGTGGGACCGGCGACTTGGCACCACCAGGCAGTGGGGGTTCCGGGGCACTGGGTGACCTGCACCTCACCACCCTCTACTCAGCCTTCATGGAGCTGGAGCCCACACCCCCCACAGGCCCCTCTGTGTACCTCAGCCCCAGCTCCAAGCCCATGGCCCTAGCATGAGCCATGTCCAGCAGCAGCTCCAGCCTGTCTGGCCTGGAAGTCCCAGCTGGCCGCCCATAACGGGCCTACCTTAAAGGTCAAGGAAGGAAAACCATCCCTGTCCCCTATGCCACTAAGCCAACTGCTAGCTGGCAGCAGGGATGAAGAAGACACCACCACTGCCCCTCACACATTTCTGCCATCTGGTGAGCCAGCTCCTCATTCAGGGTCCCGGAAGACCAAGTGTCTGGGCAAGAAAAAAACAAACACATTCTCCTTAACTCACACTCATTCACACTTAAGTAAGGCCTTCTTCATAATATGTGCATGCATATGCACACACACACACACACACACACACATATACACAGAGTTAGACACACCCACACCCACGTATCTTCTATCCAGAGGAATCAGAACTATATCACTGAGAGCTTGACTCCATTTCTGAGGCAGCTGAGGGTGGGGGGGAGCGGGGGGGCCTAAGGTCCTCATGCCAGTGCCAGGATCACCTTGAAACCCTATTCTGATGTCCACATTCTCTTCAGGACTGGCCCCTTCTAGTATGTTCTCTCCCAGAAGCCCCCTGTATTTATTCTCCCATCTCCATCCCAGCAGCTGGTCAAGGAGGAGTAGGTGGAGCCTCTCCCCAAGTCTTCTGTGGGCCCCTCGGGGGGCTGCTATTAGCACCCACCCGCCAGGCTCTCCCCATCCTCAGTATATTCTCTGTCTCACCTCCCCCAGAATGACACACAGGAGGGGTAACGGCCACCCCAGGACCAAACTGAGCCCACTTCTGACACAAAGTGTTTGGAAAAGCCCTTGCCCTCAGAAACTTAAAAGTATCCTCTTCACCAGCCCCGGGTGCAGGAAGGGCCCCTCCAGGGCACTACAGTCTCACTCCTTCTCTATAAGAACTTCATATAGTTTAGGTCTCAACTTACTAATTACTTCCAACTGTCCCAGGCAGTCCAGGGAATTCAGGGAAGGGGAGTCTGATACAGGCTGGCAGGGGTGGGGCGGGGGGTTGATGCCTCCCTCTCTCTGATTGCTGGGCAGACCCAGGATGTCCCTGGAGCTAGGGAGTGTGGCCCAGTTGCCTGCCATGCTCTACCTGAGAGCCAAGCCAGAGTTTCGGCCTACCCTGGGTCTGGGGGTGACAAGAACCCCCAGAGGTTAGCCTGGGCTTGGTAAGGCACAAGCAAATCCCTAGGTGGCCTGACCTGGAATAATAAAGCAAGTGCCTGTGGTCTTGGCTTCCGAGATTTCATTTCCGAATTTCCCCTCCTTGGGCACAAAGGCCAGGCCACACTAACTGTAGATGCCCTGCATCTATGATGTCACCCTGACCCTCATTCTGTACCCTGAAGTTTCCAAATCCGAAGAGTGAGGCATCTAGGGGGAATTCCTGACCAGTCTGGAGGAGGAACAGAGGGCAGGTGGGCCGTGCCTCTTCCCAGAACTTCCCATAAGAAGGAAGAGGATTCCCTCCCCCTACACCCTTTCCTACTGAGATTCACCACCTTCCTCCTCAAACCGCTCCATCTCTTCACACAAGAAGGAATCACTTCCCTGTCCAGGCTGTGCCTTCCTGTCCCCAATCTGTCCACAGCTGGGGTGTGGGTTCTGCAGGTGCCACGAATGGAGCCTAGCCTGCTGCTGTGTGCACTGCAGGCCCTGGAACGTGGCCTCTGGAGGGCCAGGGGCCCACTCCACTGCACTTCAAACTCACCTCCCAGGTACCACCTCCAAACGGACTGCTGTGACCAGAGAGCAGACTGAGAGGGAGCCCTACACTCTGCCTGAACAGGGATGGGGCAGTTGTGGGAGACAATAGCACACATATGCCCTTCAGGTCTCAGAGCAGCCCCACATGGGGACTCTGACCAGACTTCTTCCAGGGGCCAGGCCTGGAGGCTGGTCAACACCACCTGCCTACCCCAGAGGATAGCTCTGTAGAAGACACCATTAATAGAGCCCCACCCTACAAGCAGCACCCTCCCTATAGCCTAGCCCCTATAGGACAGGGTGGATGGGAAATGGGAGGAGACACGGCCAGCCAGTAAACCGAGAGGAAGACCTGCCTGCCCCAGCCCAGTCCCGACTATAAAGGAAGAGGCGAAGGCTCTCTCTGTTAAGCTCCCTTTTACAAAACCTCCCAGCTCAGGTGGCGAATCTCCTCCAGACACTCATATCTCTGTCCCCAGGGCCCATATGGCACACCAACAAGCGAGCTGGCACCCACACAAGCAAGGCAGGTGGCAAACGGAATTGTGGGTCTCGTGTTTGTTTTTGTTTGTAACCAGACTGGCCCTTAAACTTTTAAAACTGGGCTGCAGCTGCTCTGGGAGTCGGGCCCCACACTCCCATTCATATGCTGCCCCCTGCTGGCCGCCTCACACCAAACGGTCACAGTTTTAGGGTGAGCGGAATGGAAGGACGGAGGTTCTGGAAGAGTTCACCTTTTTTGGGGAGAGGGGACTCGAACATAAGGGTTCTAAACCTGGTTAGCTCATGGGTTCATTAAACTCAATGAAGAGGGGCACCTGGGTGGCTCAGGCGGTTAAGCAGCCATGAGATGTGTCCTGCATTGGGCTCTGCACTCAGCACCCATCTACTTGAGATTCTCTCTCTCCCTCTGCCCACCCCCACCACCAACTCACACTCATGAGCTCTCTCTCTAAAATAAATTTAAAGAATTTTTAAATTGGATGAAGAAATTATACCTTCACTTTCACTCATCTCGACTTCAAATGTATTTCCCTCAATTATGAATGTCAGCAATGAATCACAATAGCTTTACTAGAATCTGTGATTCTGTCATAAGGTAGAGAAATCACAGATGCTTTTATTTTTTAAAGATTTTACTTATTTATTCATGAGAGACACAAAGTGAGAGAGAGGCAGAGACAGAGGCAGAGGGAGAAGCAGGATCCATGCAGGGAGCCCGATGGTGGGGCTCGATCCCAGGACTGCAGGATCATGACCCGAACTGAAGGCAGATGCTCAACCGCTGAGCCACCCAGGGATCCCATAGATGTTTTTATATTATATCACAGATGCTGCAGGATAGACATATAGATTTCTATTATATAGTTTTTAGTACCTAAAATATTCAGGATTACCACATATTTTATAATCAGAAAAACGTTATTGTCTATAGGCTTCAGCAGACAATAACAAAGGGGTCCGTGACACACACACAAAATAAAGTACTCTTGCTTTAGCTGCAGAGTTGTGAGGGGTGGAGGGTGGCTCTTAATGGGAGAAGCCCGGTTAGGTAGGAAAGGGCTGGGGGGTTCAGATAGCAACTCTTTACCATCTGGTAGGGAAGCATTGCAATATTTTACAGTGGGTTTGGCACCCCCAACACGCACCATGCAGACCAGCCTGGGTAGGCATGAATAGTGGGTCTCTTGGGCTATCTTGCCCAACCCAGGCAGTGGGGTCCTCATGACACTCCCAAGAAGCCAAAGCAAAGAAATCTGGCCCACTTCAAAGAAGTGAAATCTGAGGTCCAGATCCAGCAAGGCCCACAGACTTTCAAGGTCAATAGCTCATCATCAGTCAGGACTAGACCCACCCCTACCCTGTCTTCTCCCTCCTTCTGCCCAGGGATCCTCTAGGTTCCTAGAGAAAGTGCCAGGAACCAAATGTATCAAGTTGCAACATTGGCAGCAGGACCAGTGCCAGAGACATGAAGACTTAAAAGGAAACAGGGGGCCAAGGCTCTTCCCAGCCGAGCTCCTCCTCCAGGCCCAAGGGACATAAGACTCTCAAGGTGAGTGCCAATCTGGTACCTGCTCCAGGGATGAGGACCTCAGCCCAACTCAAAACCTCAACCCAGTTTGACTTACCAGGCCCAGTTAAGATTGATACCAGGATGGTAGTGGAGTATCCTCTTCCTGACAACTGGTGGCCTAAAAGTCCATCTTACTTGCTATAGCTTCTCTGTAGACTTGTTTTTTGTTTTCTTTTTTAAGATTTATTTATTTATTTATTTATTTATTTATTTATTTATTTATTTATTTATGATAGACAGAGAAAGAGAGAGAGAGGTAGAGACACAGGAGGAGGGAGAAGCAGGCTCCATGCCGGGAGCCTGACGCGGGACTCAATCCGGGGACTCCAGGATCGCGCCCTGGGCCAAAGGCAGGCGCTAAACCGCTGAACCACCCAAGGATCCCCTTCTCTGTAGACTTGTAACCCCATAAACAACACCTCCAACTCCAAATACTTTGTATACCCACACAGCTTCATCTGCGAACCTGCCCCACACCCAGCCCATGCTTCTTCCTCACTTTTGTGACAACAGTTCCTAACCACTCGCTTCTTGGTGAAATTTTCTTCCCCCAGCTTCTAACAGATACTACTACAGAACAGGCTTCTGCTCCTGCCTCTCTGGCTGCCCTTCCTATCTCCTTTATGGCTTCCTCTCCCTTTGTCCTGCTCTCACTCACTAGCCTTCCCTAGGGTTACATACTCCCATCCAGTGACCCTTAGTTGGGAGGTGTGGACTGTTTGCATGGAGTGCCCCATTAATTGGAAGGCATTTAGCATTCCTGTCCCCTGCTCATTAAACACCAGTAGTGCTAGTTGGGCATCCCATAACTCAACCACCATCACAGCTTCAGCAACTGCCTTGTAGCCGCTGATCTCCAAGGATCACCATCTCCAGCCTTCATCCTGCTTCTGGTCTTGTGGCTCAATTTCCTGTCTCTTTCCGAACACCCCTTCAGGACATCTGTACCACACCACGGCACGTCCCAACCTGAACTCATGTCCCCCTCGTGCCCGCCTTGATCCAACTTGAGTTCCCAAACCCAGTGACAGCACCCCTTCCTACCCCAACACTCAGGCTGTGGACTGGGCTTCAGCCTTGACTCCTCCCTGTCATATTAACTTTCCCGAAGGCACCTGATACATTTTGCCTCAAGACCTCTGCTTTTATGCTCTCTCCTGTGCCAGAATGCTCACCCAATCAGCCTGAGTGCCCCTGCTCCAATACTGCCTCCTCCAAGGATCCTCCCCAGATCCCTCCAAGCAGGACTCTTGCTCCCCTGTAAGCCCAGTCCACCTTATCCCTAGGAACAAGTGTTTGTGTCTTACTCATTTTAGAATTCCCACGGGGCAGCCCAGGGCCTGACCCCAGCCAGGGCTCCACAGAACCCACGTAAATTCCAGCACTTCTAGGCCTGTCAGAGGGTGAGGTTAAAGCCTCAGCCCAAAGAGCACAGTCACCAGCCATATCCAAATTAGTGCCTGAGAACAGTGTGAGCTCTCCGCCTCCTTCAGTTCCTCAATTTTCTCCACTAATGAAATTAAGAGCTCTTCTGGGTCTGAGGCAGTGCTGGGGGCAGCCAGGTCAGGGGGTTCCCCCAAGGCAGCTGAGTACAAGATGGCTCTAGACCTTGGCCCAAACTGTGTCCACCTTGTCTCTCTGAGGAGGGCTAAAAGCACAACCTAGTGGTCCTTGTGGTCTCTGGGTGGGGGAAGTGGGCTAGAGATCAGGCCACCTCCCCACACCTCCCGTCCACCCTAGAGTGGAGGGCCTTTGTCCCAGCCTCTGTTTTGCCAGAGTTGGCTATGACTGAGCAGAAGCGTTCCCTCTCAGGGCCTGGGTCTCCATCTTTATCAAAGGAAAAACCCTTTCCAGCTGCAACACACACTAAATGCTGACTCTAGATGCTGAATATGATGCCAGAGTGTAAATGATTAGGGGACAGAAGGATTTGGGACCAATATTATTGGCACACCCCACCCCCATGCTGGTCCACAGCCAAAGAACAGAAAAGGAGAGAGTTTATTGAAAACTATATACAGTTGGTCCGTCCCTACCACAGGCTGCAATCTGGGCCGGTCCCTCCCACATCTCAAGCAGTAGCTCAGCCCCTGATGGTAAAGGCTGGGGCTAGGGCTGGGGCCAGGGCCCCAAACCCCTTGGGAAGCTTGGCAGCCAGACCCCCTCCCCCGATGGATTTTGATCTGTGAATTTACAACTCTAAATGGCCTGTCAGCAGTGGGCAGGGGCAGGGAATGGGTGCCTGCCCTGATCTAGTCAAAGCCTGGATAGGGGAACACTATTCTTTAACTTCGGCCCCAGAGGCCCAGGTAGGCTGTCCAGAAGTCCTGGCTACACCTCTCACAGGAGGCCTCCTGGACATGGAGGCAGACAGCCCTCCTACCACCCCACCCCATGTGCCAGGGCCAATGGGCTTTGGAGACTTGGGCTGGGGACATCAGGTACCC